CGTGTTCGGCTCGTTAACTTATCAAACAAAATTAACGAGCCGATCACGAGCTTCTTAACGAGCCGAACACGAGCTGTTCGCGAACAACGAGCCGTTTTGACAGCCCTAGTGATATGCATGTCAATCTTCCAATTAAAGAAAAGCTGAAGTAAAAAAAAATACATTATGTAGTCACAAAACACTCAAATATTTAACATCGCATTAAAGATATTACTATTAGTAACTTTTTAAAAATGAAATACAAATTTTACAGGCACATGACACTAAAATGCTACAAATACAAAATATGAAAATCTAGATGTAAGATGAATACATAAGAATAGTGTGATATGTAAATATACAAAACAATCTGCTGATGTGAACTAGTTGGTTAATAAAAGAATAGGTTAGCCAATGCAAGCTGATAGTATTCCCCTATGCATATAAACAAACACAATTTTTGTTACTCCTGGAAATAAAAAGTAAAAAGCAAAACATCCTTGGATGGCATTCTTTTCATGGAAGCTATCTTGGACCGAAATCCAAATTCTCCCACTTGAATGGAGCAACCGAGCCAACCCAAGGAGTGCCACGAAGAAACAGGCAGACGCACACGCAGACCGCAGCAATTGCCAACACGGAGTGGGTGTGTGGCCACCGGAGAAGACCTCTGCCAAGAGCTATCCGGATTGGCCGAGACTTTGCAAAAGCACATTGAGCACACGAATTTACCGCCATTGTTGCAGGGACGCAACCATTACCATGCTTTGCTGGTGGCTCGGTCACTCGCCTTGACTCATCCATGCATGATATTGCTTCGTGCCCAATCATGATTGACACCCGACCATTCTCCTTATCTGTGAGTTTTCTGGTCACAAGCATGTTGTAGGAGTGGTTGTTCCTTGATGCTGCACACATGGCGGGAGTTTGACCATTGTCATCCAGAACTGAAGCCCAACATTTCAACCCAATCTAAAATCGTTTCAGATGAAAAAACATATATATATTATCAAACAACTTGATCATAATACATATCCGGGAAGAAACTGCTTAGCATAAATTGTAATAAAAATCTAAACTTGCCTTTTGGGGATCATTTGTTAGAGCATCAACCATGGCTTCAGCATTCTGCATGGAAGCAGCAAGATGCATGGGGGTGAATCCCCCAGGGCCGGGGGAATTAGGAGGGAATAGATACACTCTTGAATCTTTTGAAATTTTATTCTTAACAGAATAGTTCAGAAGCATGTCAGACATCTTCCTACATTTCCTCTTCACAGCTCGGTTCAATAGCTGTAGTTCAAGAAGTTCCAGCGGTTCATGAAATATAGAATCCCTCTCAGCACCTCTTTCCACTACAATGTCCAGAAGTTTTTCAACAAGCGCGGTGAAATCTCTCTCTACAGCAAACGAAAAGAGATACTTGAACCGCAATGTTGAGAAAGCGACAAAGGAAGTATCAATGTGGCACTTTCTTTGAAACAACCAACCGAGTTCATTCAGGAAGTGAAGGACATCTTCTCTAGATTGTGTCCTACCATTCTCCAAACACTGGTTTTGAAAGCCGGTACCAATGGTACCAACATTTTCATTAAACACAAATTCAAGTGATCTTAGTTCTTTACAAATTGCAGAATCCGCAATGATAATAGGAAAGCTATTTCCTTTAAAACTTCTCTCAACCTGTAAATAAGAGAAAATGGCCACAACTCAACCACTATCATTGGTTTTGAAAACATTGTATGTGTGCACTTCTATGAGGTGGGAGGATTATTCTACTGGTGCCAAACAACACGGAAATGGAGCGGGTTAACTCACCTCGATGAAATATCGTCCATAGGAATAAGGTGGTCCTTCAGGAAGAACGAAGCACTCAGAACTGGAATCATCATCATTTATGGTGCCTGGATATGTTGGACCCACATCTTTTGATAAATACCCTCTCTCAGAAGTACAATGAATTCTGTGCAGACAGAAGATGAATGAGATAAAAGGGACCATTTATTCAGACTATTTGAATGAGAAGATTTGAACTCACATTGTTCCAGGAACACTCAAATTGCGACCTTTAAGAATCAATGTGGTTTCTTGCCCACCCATAACTGCAATGGGAGATATAGATGTCAACTCAGGACCACTAAATGTCCTCCAGGACTTGATGATACGTATTTTGCCTGAAAACAATAAGCAAAAGCTGAGACTACTAGTCCAAACCATATTGCATTACCTTAATATCCCGAGATAAAGAATAGTAGAAAGTCATGATACCAAAACTGCTCTAAACTTTCACGACGGCTACCGAAATAAGTCGATAAAGGATAAAAAGCACACCATCCCTGTGAGAAGCAAGTCGTCCACTCAAGCGGACCAAAAATCTCGTATTTTTCCAAAACCCAGATTCAGAGCAATTAACGAGTGAATCAACTTGCCGAAGGAAGTCTTCCTCAAGCTGCAGAGCCAGAATTTTCAACTAGTTAATTGCAACAAGAACAATAATAAGGCAAGGAGATATTTACATGATAGGTACCCTTACCTCATGCCATGCCATCAAGGACATACACAGATAAATGGATAAAACCACACAGCCGGGCCTAATGTAGCTTTCAATTTCAGAGGGACTATGGGACAGCCAATTCAAAATCTAAAATAAAGAATTTATCAAAACAAACTAAACTTGGTAATTAATGTGCTACGAATCTAATTCACTTTTATTTTTATTGAGGCCTACCTCAGTCCGAAGTTCCCCAGGCAAATTACTTGGATCTTTGTCAAAAAGCTTGAAAATAATACGCCCAGTTCGATCCGGGGCGTCAAACCTTGAGTTGGAAGGAGAATGTACTGAGCCAGAGGAAAATGAATAACTTCTGCAGTACGTCAAGTTCTGAACTTTTTGATTATCAGAATGCCTTCCTGGGCCCTTGAACGGATCCAGGGATGAGGGCCGACCACTTGATGTTTTTGCTTCAGCTGTTACAAGCTCCTCCCTGCATATCACCATGCTTTCATCCTTTGTCTCAGAAGCTGATTGCAGCGTAAAAAGCCTTTTTGCAATGCGGAGCGAACATGAAGGTGATGTATCTTCCATTATGTTGCTGCTCTGAGAGGATGGATATTTACTCGCAGAAAAAAGTTTTGAATGACTATCATCTTCATCAGATCGAAATAACTGCAACGGTAAACTTGGTGTGGCGGTTTGAACTGGATGTTCAGAAGAATTAACTTGGGAACAGACATTAAAGTCAAATTCTCTACCTCCAACCGGAGAACAGATGCGAGCCAACTTGCTGTGTGAATTAACGTTAACTACAGTGTCCTGACAAGCCCTATTGCTCTTGCTATTACCACTATCATCACTACTCACATGTAACAAGGTAGTCAGGGTATTCGGATTTGAAGATAGAGCAGCAGATAGGATAGCAAGCAAGTTCATAGTTGATGGAGAACTCAGATTCTCACTCTCTTCAGGTGGCTGTTTACAAGAACTTTGCTGTGGAGCTACTGAAACGTTAAGATCAAAATCTCTTTTCACTTGTGTTTTGGAAGTGGCTTTTGCAGGAGGCAAGTTGGCAAACTTATCAGAAATCTGTAAACACCGGTCTCTCTGTGGTAGAGATGCCATGTTTGAAGAGTTTCCAACAACATTGCCTGGTGAAACACTAATAAATGGTGAGACGATTCTCAGAACAAAAAAATATTCATGAAGACAAGATATCTTGCCTTGAAATCGCGTCAGGACTGCTAAAAGATTGACAATATCCATATTCCTAGTGACTTTTTCATCATGAATCGCAGACTCTAAAATGTTTGCTGATGCATCTTCAGGTTGGGTCTTCCTCCTACGTTGATTATGTCCAGCAAGCCTGCGCCGGCAACTCCTTTTCCCCTCATCAAACTCCATTAGGGGATGGAATCTAAATTTATACTAGCAGAAAATCCAGTCATTTTTTAATGTTGAAGATGACAAGAAGAAAAAAATTTATGCCATCTAAAGATACCAAATTCAGAAAAGATGTTATGCTGATAAACTGATATGCCAGGTTGAAAAAACGTTTTAAGAAATTTTAAAAGATTTTCAATAAAAAAGTTTAATCAAATTAAACTACATGATTTTCTTCCTAAATTATAATTTAGTTCAAAGGCATCAAAGCAAAAACTAAAGATAAGATTGAACAACGAATTTAGAAGTCTGCAAATTGGCTCAAATCACTCACTTGCTGCATTGCTGGCAAAATCTTTGCATCTGCGGCCCAACAAGAGCATTGGCTACTTTGCTATGAAGCTCACAAACTTTATGCCGGCGATGATAATCCTTGGCATTGGACAGATCTGTTCTGCAAGCATCCACCTGGCACATAGGATAACTTGCAGAGCTCCCAGGTGAACCAGACCGAACTCGTTTGTTTGGCTTAAAGACAAGCTCTTCCACTGCAGAAGCTTCAATTCCAATCTTCAAAGTCAATGTCCCACTATCCTCTTCCACTCCCCTGCTCAAAAGCTGTCCTGTAGCATCCCCATCCTTCATAACACCTGCACCCGGAGAAACCTCCGAGGGCTTTGCGGTGAACTTCAAACTGTCCCAATCCCATAACTTAGGGCTCCAAACATCAGAATTGTCAGGGTCAGTAATTGCAGACCCCATTAACGAAAGATGCTTTTGCTGATGATGACTAAAATGGTACAATCCAGGATTTGTCCAACGAAAATCCCGCTTCCTCGCCATGCCGGCCGTATCAGAAAACCGTCCAGGAAGTAAAACAGACGGGGCAACTCCAGCATCCACTTCTCCTTCCATTTCCCCAAAACACAAACCGCACCAAAATCAAATCTAACGCAATCAGAACCCCCACCGAAATCTCAACGAAGAAATCGGCACAAAAAAGTTCTGAATAGTGAATCCATCCCCGGAAACTAACAAAAGAGCTTAGTAGAAGCGATGCCCTGTAGACGACGGTGAAGCTAATGCCATGCGAAAACGAAGTAGATCTGAAAGGGGAGGCCTGTGAAGAGCCTAATTCTATTTGTTTCAGCCCCAGGTCAGACAAATAGAATGAAAATTTATGAGAGAATTAATAAAATATCAGTTCATGTAAAAAATAAAATATCAATTTTTAAATATTTTTTAAAATCTAAGAAAAATTACTTGAATTTTAATATATTTTGATTATTTTTTTATTAATTATTTCTTAAACGATCTTGCTCACAAGCTACGAGTCAAATCAGGATTGTCTTGAGCTTGACTTATTAGCTCATCGAGCTCAGTTTATGAGTCACTTATGGAGTTGAGCCTGAGTCGGCTCACGAGTTAGCTTGACTCACTCACAACCCTACCCTCCACTATTTTGGTAACTATTTTGTACTATTTAATATTGATACGTTACCAACAAATTTCTATTATTCGTCATAAATCTGGAGACATGATCGCTCTCGAAGCAAATTTTTGGGCAAGAGATGTTGAAACTTAAATGTGGAAAAAAAATTGTGAAAGAAGATCCTGAATGTAATGCTGGGGAAGGTCGGTGATAACTTTTGAGACAACCTTTCTCTTTTGAGAAATCCTGGATCATCTGTTTAGTAGGGTCGATGACTCCACCTCCTTCCTCCTCTTCATGACATATCTATATATTGAAGAGCAAAATATTTTGAAGAAATATAAATTTTTAAAATAAATATAATTTTTATTTTTTAAAATAAGATTAAGAAGAAAAAAAATTATTATATTTTCTTTTTAATCGATTATGTATTATAATTTAAAAATATTTTTATCCTTTCCTGTTAATATCAAAATTATACTTTAATTTCAATGTTTTTGCACGGTTAAGACTCCTGAACCGCGCCAAAACTTTTGACTATTTATCCACATACCATTTAATTCTTTCCTATTTTATATATATGAAAATAATATCATAATAAAGATAAAATGCTGTAAATTTGGAAATTTTTTAATGACAACTTTTGGCCTTGCCCAAAAGATTTCTACCATTTAACATAAATCACGAGGTATGACACGGACATCGAGGTAATATTTTGGCAAGAGATGTTCAAACTTTGATTAAAGGTAATCTAGAATTGTGATCCAACAAACTTGCAGTCAAATTGACCGGTTCGAAGAGACAGACCTAACAATACCAAAATCGGTTCAATTCAATTGAAATCAAGCTCTAGTCAAGCCATTAAACTTCTTCCAAGAGAATTTTGAGCATAATTGGAATGTCAAACAGATTTCGAATCTAGCAAGCTTATGGTTGAATCGAGCGCCTCGGTAAGACAAATCCAATGAGTCTAATATCGCTCAATTATGACATCATTAAGGCACTCAAACGCCCATCTAAAGTCGTCTAATAAACGGGACATATTCGGGTCGTCCGATCAAGAGTGGTTTGGATTTCTTCCTTATTTTGTAACTCAAACTTTATAAATAGAGCCCTACCCCTGGATAAGATAGGGACCTAGAACTTGGGCAAGAGAAAGAGTAGAGCCTACAAAAGAGAATGTTGCAGCTGAGCATACTGCACTGCAGATCCAATCAACTTCGGTCGTCGTTGTCTTCGACCGTCTTTATCTTCTGCCTTTGTTGCCTTTGACAACCTCCTTCTTCACCTCTAGCCAACTTCGGTCATCACCAACTCTTACACCTCTGGTTGCCACTGCATCTCACCAACTCTCGCCGCCACCACATTCGTTCAACTTCGGCCACAGTCGCTTCTGACCAACTATGGTCTTCCCCGCCTTTAGCCAACTCCGGCTGCTTCCAACGAACTCCAACCACTGTCGCCTCATGCCAACTCTGACTAATGCCACCAACCATCAGACCATCTCTGGTCGCCATCGCCCTTTGACAAATTTAGTAGCCGCCATGTCCGACAATCTCTTACCGCTACCGCCCTCCGGCTATCTATGGTCCCCACCACCCTCAGCCAATTCCGATCACCGCTACCATCTGACCACCGTTACACTCCAACCAACTCCGGTTGCCACAACCGCCTCTGACACCTCCGACCACCGCTTTCAGCCAACTCCGACCACCACTTGTTGACCACCACTACTATCATTTGCTCCTTACAGCAAATTTTTTTTGTGAAGTCACAATGTACGTCGCAGAATCCCAACATACGCAGTGGAACGGTGAAACACCCCACATATGGTGTAGCAATGAACCTCAGATACAATGTAATGATGCCTCCCAAAAATGTTGTACCAATGTACCCTAGATACAATGTGACGATGCCTTCTAAAGACGGTGTAACAATGAACCCTGAAGATGGTGACATTTTTGAAATCTTAAAGTTCTTTTTGTGTAGCTCTTAACTCCAGCCCTTACGGTCTAAGGATATCATTGGAAATCACCACTATGCCCTATGTGACCAACTACGACCTATGTGACCAACTACGGCCTACGTGGTCCACAGTTCATGTAGCTCCGACTCAAGCCCTTATAGCCTACAAACGTCATCACAGCACACCACTACGACCTACGTGACCGACTATGGCCTACGTGACACCCAGCTAATGTAGATCTCGACTTCGGCCCTTGCGGCCTACGAATGTCATCTTAGCTCATCGCTACAGCCTATGTGATCAATTACAGCCTACGTGGTGCATATCTCGTGCTGCACCCTTACGGCCTACGAATGTCATCACAGCTCACCACTACAACCTATGTGACCAACTGGAGCCTACCTAATACACAACTCATGCACCTCCCAACTTCAGCCCTAGTGGTCTATGAAACAGGTCATCACTTTGGCCAAAGTGACCACTACGGGCAAAGTGGTCCACAACTAATGCACCTCCAACTCCAGCCTCTAGGGTTTGTAGATGACAACACAACTTACCACTACAACCTATATGACAAAATATAACCTAAGAGATTCATCGCGTGTAACTTCCAATTCAGGCTTCATGACCTACAGACGTCATCACAACGCATCACTATGATCTACGTGGTTCATAGCTAGTGTAACTCCTGACTTCGTCCCCTGCAGCCTACGAACATTATTGTAGCTCACCACTAAGGCCCATGTGATCAATTGTGACCTACATGGTTCACAGCTTTAATATCTTCCTTTTATAACCTGTGGCCAAATGACGCATCAGAAGCAACCATCTACATCCCACAAAAACAACTATTATCATGGCTTTCAACTACATCATTTACGACAACCTGACGCTATAACCACCATCTAGAACATTCATGGCGGGCTACTGCCTTTATAACAATCGACTATGGTCCTAACAGCCTAAATCACCAATAACTACAACTATTATCGATGAACGACTATTGTACATTTATAATGATCATCTTTTTAACTCAATCTTTTTCTAATTTAGGAGAAGTGTAAACTTGTTTACTCACTATTCATAGTGGATTATTTCAACAGGGCTAGACTTTATGGTTTTTTCCTCTTTCTAAGGTTTCCCACAAAAAAATTGAGGTGTCTCTTACTATTTAATCTTTTTTCTATTATCTGAGTGTGTATTGGAGTCTCATTAACACTAAGACGTTAAAATATTATTCTACCATCACAGCCCTTTCGTCACACATCAATCATTATTTATTTATCATTGATAATAATAATTATAATTTTCTCAACATTGGCATTTTCAATTATTTGTGAATAAAATGGGCGCAATTTAATTTAGTGCATAGAAAAAATTAAACTTTTAAAATAACTTTTCTTAATTTAAATCATTCATAGTTTAGCCCCAACTAATTATGTTTCAATATTTTGATAACTTTTTAGTTTTTATACCTCCAATCTCATGCTTATAATTATTAAACAATTGTATTATATAGAATATTAGAATCAAGTCCACTAAATATTGTTGGTCAAACTTCTAAAAAATTTGAACTTTTTGTGCCACTATATTGAGGCAAAGAACACTTATTTATTAAATAATAAACGAGCCCTTCCCTAATGTAGGTGTTATCCTTATAATTTGCATTAAAATCTTAAATATTTTTTTAGGATTATCATGCCTTCTATTAATATCATGTACTTGTTATACACATGTGAGTAGATCTTACATAATAGTTTTGCCTTAGTTTATTATTGCAAATATCCATGTATATTGAATTAAGTATTGTAGTTTCATTATTCATTTTTCCCTTACATTACTTTGGTTACTTATAGTAAATTATATTCAAGAAAAAAATTATTTAAGAAAATCAATAACACTATTCTTATTATTTATAAAATAAATGTTTAAAATCTGTAAATTATATGATTTATATAGTGGTGTGTAAGTCAGTATAACCCTACTAAATATTGGCTAACTTGACTGGTAAACTCATAGAGTGAAGATTCTACATTAAATCATTGATTATTTTTTATTGATTTTTATCATTTGAATTTTGAAATATCATATGAAATTGTCTGTATATATTGTAATTTAATAATAAATGGCTTTTCGGTCATAATTAGGCCCGACTTGGAGTCCAGGATCCTCTTTCTCTTTCTAGAGAAGTTTGCCCTATATATGTTTCAATGCTTGAGTATCTTGGAGTGCGCAAGCTTTTTTTGGATCCTTTCTAGGATTTTCTTATTAATCCTTGGCCTTGCTTCTCCTCTTGGGGAAGAAGTTGTTAGTGGATTTGTTTTCATATTTTGTTCAGATTGTTGGTTAGTTTTAGGGTTTTTGCACATTGATATTTCATGAAAGTTCTTTTCCTCCTCTCCCCTCTTCAAGCTCTTCTTAAGGATCTTCTCCATCCTTGCTTTGGAAAGCTTGGTTTATTCCCATATCTCTAATAGTTCATGTTTTAATTTATCTTATTTTCCTTTTGTGGATGGCAAAATTTATTTTTTGGATGATAAGATCCAAAAGAGATCTAAACAGTGGAGTATGGTTATGGTTGGTTACTCGCTAGATAAACGACCTTTTTACCACAATCTCTTGCAAGTGATTGATAAAATCTAGAAACTAAAACTTTTGTCAGAACTTTTATCTTTAAATGATGGTTTCGTTCTTTTCAAATTCAATTGCGTGAAACA